GGGCCCGGTCCCCCTGTTCCCCACCTTGGCTCACACCCCGTGCCCGCTCTGATGTGTGCGAGTGCCCGCCCCCAGGCTACGTGGAGGAGTGCGCGCGCAGCTCCTCCGTGGACTATTTCTGGTACCGGGAGACCCTCAACATCTCCACCTCCATCAGCGACTCCGGCTCCGTGCAGTGGTGGGTCCTGCTCTGCCTGACCTGTGCCTGGAGCGTGCTCTACGTGTGCACCATCCGCGGCATCGAGACCACCGGCAAGGTGCCCGCGGGGCTGGGGGGCCCCCCGTGCACCTTCAGCCGCTGTGAGGGTTGTGACCCCTCCCCCCCACCATGGTCTGGGCGGGGCCTCTGCTGCCCACGTGCTCAGGAAGCCGTGGGACCCACGGTATCCCCAGTCGGGAGGCACCAGATGGTCACAGTCACGCAGAACGCTGGGAAGTGGAGGGCCGGGCACACCTCCCTGCCTGGAGTCTGGGGGCCAGGGGCACCTGGGAGGGGGTCCTAACCCGCAGCCCTCTCTTCCCACCCCCCTGCACCTGCCCCGCCCACAGGCCGTGTACGTCACCTCAACGCTGCCCTACGTCGTCCTGACCATCTTTCTCATCCGGGGTCTGACACTGAAGGGAGCCACCAATGGTATCGTGTTTCTCTTCACACCCAACGTGAGTCCCCTGAGGTCCGCTCAGAGGCAGGGGGTGGCCCGGCCGGGGGCGTCAGGGGCCCATCGGCTCAAGTACAGCTGTGTGGACAGAGGGTGGCCGCCACCGGGCCGTGTGTCAGCCAACACCTTGGGAGTGAGGCTGAGGGGTCTCTGTCCTGCCACAGGTCACGGAGCTGGCCAACCCGGTCACCTGGCTGGACGCGGGGGCTCAGGTCTTCTACTCCTTCTCGCTGGCCTTCGGGGGTCTCATCTCCTTCTCCAGCTACAACTCTGTGCAGTGAGTGTGGGCGGGCCTCCCTACCGAGGGCGGGGGTGGATGGGTACAGGGACCTGGGTCCCAGCAGTGGGGGTGGCCACAGGGTGCATAGAGGCTGGCTGGTGACTCCAGAGGGCTTTCACCAGGGGGGTCCCTCCAGTGAGGCCCGTTTACGACCCAGCCTCCCCTTGGCGCCTCGGTCTCCGTGACCCTTAGCCCTGGTGTTCAACCCCCCTCGCCCCCAGGCACCCAGGACCCCCAGGGGCACCCGTCCCTGCAGCCCAGCCCAGGCCGACACCCACACGGCAGGGGCCCAAACCCCCAGGGTCTCCAGGACCATCGGGTTGGGACCAGTGGTCCAGCAGAGAGCCGAGCGAGCCTCGGGAGCAGACGCGGAGGGGGAGGGGCCGTGGTGCTGGGCGGGACAGGACATGCTCCGGGCCCCCGCCCCCCCCCCCCGGCCGTTTGCCCGCTGGGCTCCCACGTCCCCAGGGTCGTGCCACCGCTGCCTCCAGGCCCCGCAGATGCCGCCCGCCCCAGGGAGCCCCGTGCCCCCTCCCCTGAACCAGCCGCCGCCTCTTGGGCTGTTTCGAGGGCACGGACACCCGGGAGTCGTCCTCTGCGTCTGGTTTCCGTCACCGCACCATTTCCTTGGGGTCCGGCCCTGCTGCAGCCTGTGTCGGGGCGTGCTTCCTCCCACGACCGAGCCACGCCCGGTGTGTGGATGGGCACGCTGTGTTCACCCAGCCGTCCCGTGGCGGGCCCGATTTTTCCACACCCTCTCCAACACCTTATTATCCCACTTTCTGATGCCGGCCATCAGAAGCATCTGGAAGGAGGGTGTTAGCATCAGCGGGTGGGGGTGGGAGGTCAGGGGCCATGTTCTGGGCCCTCTGGGCTGCAGAGGGGCTTTGGGCGTCCAGGGGGAGTTGGGGGTCCTGGCCAAGCCCAGCACCTCGAAGCCTCACGACCCAGGGGAGTAGGGATTTGAACCCGGGGTCTCCAGGACTGGCGGCTATGGGGGCGTGGGGAAGTGGCAGAAGGGTGGAGCGGGGTCGGGACGCCGCTGCGCCGTCTTCGCTGAGCGCCGACACGGGCCGGGTGGGCGTCCCCGGCCGTCAGTGACCAGCCAGTGCTCTCACTGCAGCAACAACTGTGAGAGGGACTCGGTGATCGTGTCGGTCATCAACGGCTTCACGTCCGTGTACGCGGCCACCGTGGTCTACTCCATCATCGGCTTCCGTGCCACCGAGCGCTTCGACGACTGCTTCAACATGTAGGTGGCTCGCCCGCCCCGAGGAGCTTGCAAACTGCCTCCAGGGAGCCCCCGCCCCCGGGCCTGCAGCCAGCCTGGCTCTCTTCCAGGAACATCCTGACGCTCATCAACGGCTTCGACCTGCCTGAGGGCAACGTGACGCAGGAGAACTTCGCGGAGGTGCAGCAGTGGTTCAATGCCACGGAGCCCGAGGCCTACGCGAAACTGCATTTCCAGACCTGCGACATGAACTCCTTCCTCTCGGAGGTCGGTGCCTTGGGTGGCGCCCCTGCGGTTCGGGCTCTGGGGGCAGGGGGCGGGCGCTGAGCTTCCCCTGCGAGCCCGGTGCCCACGGGCCTGGCCTCCTCCAGTGCCTCACGTCAAACACGTGAAAATACCCCGTGGGCTACTTTTACTATAGTTCCTCCTACAAAAACGCCAGTGTCCTTATAACCGTCTTGCAACCTCGTTTGATTGGCATATGTCACTCGGGGAGGCTGACGCATCTTAGTACAGCTGCAAATCTGCTCTAATGTGCCACTGCCTTTGAACTCCAGTCTTATTTTCTCTTTTATTAAAAACATGTTTTTAGTATCTTCTTTTTGGGAGAGCGCAAGGTAGGAAGGGGCAGAGAGAGGGGGACGGAGGATCCAAAGCAAGCTCTGCACGGATAGGCTGTCTGCACAGAGTGTGACATGGGGTTCGAATTCACAAACTGCGAGATCGTGGCCCGAGCCGAGGTCGACGCTCAACTGACCGGGCCACCTGGGCGCCCCTCTAAGTCCAATTTTAATGATGAGTAAGGTTTCCGTATCGTTAAGGTTTATGAGCCCGAATTTACCAGTTTTAATTCTGCAATTTTCTTATTTGGAGCCGCACGGTATTTGGGGGCATGCCACATGCCGCCAGGGCCCTGGCCACGAGTTTTCCATCAGCAGTGGGTCCCCGCCGCCCCATCCCCAGCCCCAGGCCACGAGGCTGCTGCGTCTGCCTCTGGTTTTGCTGCAGTCTGTGCCCCGAGGCTGGCTGGGCTCGCCCGGTCATCCTGAGTTTCCTCGCATGGGCGCACCGCTGCCCTTCGCTACCACGTCCTCCCGAAGTCCTGGCTCTCCCCGCAGGGCGGAGCTGGTGTGTGGAGGGCAGCGGCACGGGCACGTTTTCCACAGACTCCTGTAGATGCCGTGAAGTTACTTTGGGGTCCCTGACTTCTGAGTGGGTCCCCGGGACCGGAGCCCGTGACCTGCAGGGAACACGGGGGCCCCGGGCTCCCGACTTAGCCTCTCAGCCCCACCAGGAACACCTGCTGCCTGGAGGGAGGAGCCAAGGCAGAGGTCTCACTGACCCACGTGGGGCCAAAGGCAGGGGCACGGGGTCAGCCGGGGTGCCACGCGGAGCCCTGGCACTTCTGCGTCCGCAAGCCCGTCGGCGCGCACAGCCTGGCCCACTGTTCACAGCCCTAGGGCGTCTGTTCGGGACGCGTGCTCAGGCTAGTAAAGTCATCCTGAGCTCTGAGCCCAGCTGTGTGGGGAGCGGCTCAGGAAGCGTCCTGTGGGGTGACACCTGTCAGCGAGCAGACGGTCTGCCGTGCCTGCCACATGTCTGTCTGGGCCGCGTGGGGCCCTGACTGCTGCCAAGCAGTGCCACCCACTTCCTGGTGTTTGAACTCAGGCAGCTTTTAAAAATGCAGTTGGGCCCAAGAGATGAGTTCTGGTGGTTTTCCCCGGGTGGCTGAAATCAGCGCTTTCCTTGTGCGGGGGGCGGAGGAGGGGTGCTCAGCAGGTGCAGGGACGGGGAAGGACAGGGGCCCTCCGGGGGGGGGGGGTGCTCAGCAGGTGCAGGGATGGGCAAGGACAGGGGCCCTGGGTGGGGGAGGCTCAGCAGGTGCAGGGTCGGGCAAGGACAGGGGCCCTCGGGAGGGCGTGTGCCTCGCTGATGGAGCTGCCCACCCTGCAGGGCGTGGAGGGCACGGGGCTGGCCTTCATCGTCTTCACGGAGGCCATCACCAAAATGCCCGTGTCCCCGCTGTGGTCCGTCCTCTTCTTCATCATGCTCTTCTGCCTGGGCCTGTCGTCCATGTTTGGCAACATGGAGGGTGTGGTCGTGCCCCTGCAGGACCTCAAGATCATCCCCGAAAAGTGGCCCAAAGAGCTGCTCACAGGTATGTGGGGCCGGGACGGCCTCCAGGCCGCAGCCTCGGCCGGGGCGCGGGGCCTGGGTCCGCAGCAGCCGTGTTCTCTGTCCCGAAGGCCTCATCTGCCTGGGGATGTACCTGATCGCGTTCATCTTCACGCTGAACTCGGGCCAGTACTGGCTGTCCCTGCTGGACAGCTACGCCGGTTCCATCCCGCTGCTCATCATCGCCTTCTGCGAGATGTTTGCCGTGGTCTACGTGTACGGTGTGGACAGGTAAGAGGGAGGCAGGAAGCTCCCACGCTCGGGGCAGGGGGAGACGGGCGTGTGTGACGCGGGGCCGAGCGTGCATGTCCCTGGAGAGCGCGCGGGGCGTGGGTCGGCGGGGCCGTGGGCAGAGGAGACGGGCCGCCCGGAGCCGTGTGAACTTCCAGCCGTCGGTGCTTCCAGACCCGGCACGGATGAGCACTGACAGGCCACACGGTCTTGGGGGTGGGAGAGAGGAATCAGCAACCACCCAGAAACAGACCCCTCCGGTCTGACCATGCGATTGAAAATTCCTAACTGAGGGGCGCCTGGGTGGCTCGGTCGGTTGGGCGGCCGACTTCGGCTCAGGTCATGAACTCACGGTCCGTGGGTTCGAGCCCCGCATGGGGCTCTGTGCTGACAGCTCAGAGCCTGGAGCCTGTTTCGGACTCTGTGTCTCCCTCTCTCTCTGCCCACCCCCCGGCTCGTGCTCTGTCTCAAATATGAATAAACGTAAAAAAAAAAAAAAAAAATTAAAAAAAAAAAGAAGATTCCTAACTGAGGACAGCTGTGCCACACGGAGGCGAAGCACTGTCGTGTCTCGCAGGCCGCGAAGCCTCAACTACATGAGACGCGGGCGCAGGTGGACCAGGAGGGGCTGAGTAGCCGCGGGGCCGGGGCGCGAGCGGCAGAAGCGAGAGCTGGACACGGCTGAGGCAGGGCGCTCGCCGTGGGGAGCAAGGCTTCCCTGTGGGGCCCCAGGGCTGCCGGCCCGGGAGGGGGGTGCTGTGTGCTTCACTACAACTGGGGGCGCGTGGCCAGGGGAGCTCCGTGGCGCGGGTGCTCTGGGCCTTTCTAGGGGAGACGGTGCCACGCAGCCAGACGGAGCCCCAGGTGAAGAGAGGTGGTGAGTGGGCCTGTCAGTGGTCTGCTCGGCCGGATGCTCAGGGCATCACGCCCCGCTCGGAGGTGAGCCGGGGCCCAGAATGAGGCCGAGGTGCCCTCGCCAGGGTCCGGGCTCACCAGGGCCTCAGAGACCGCCGGCCGGTGCCCAGCACCAGTGCGCACGCACGAGCCCTGGGAGGCGTGCCGATGTCGGGATGCAGCCTCTGTACCCGCGAGAGCTTGCCCGCGCTGGGACATAACACGCTTCGAACCAGCCCGGGGGCCACCGAGGAACACGCCCCGCGCTCACTGCTCTAGCAGACTCGGGGAAGAGAGTTGTGATGCAGGCCCGTGACCGAGTGAATGAGGGCACGGCCATCTGTGAGCGCCCCGGGACGGCGCGGAGTCGGACGCTCGTGGGGGTCGCTGCACGACACACGGGGGGACGGACCGGCACAGAGGAGACGCACCACGGCCTCCCTGGCCCTGCTGGGTCCAGCCTGAGGCTGAGGCCTGGGCAGCGGTACCTTCCCAGGAATGTCCTCTGGATTCTCTGTGTCCTGGGCAGCTCGTGGCCACGCTCCATGGGCGCCACGCTCATTTCTGCGGAACGCAGGCTTTGGTGCAGAAGGCAGTCCGGCCCAGGGCGGGGGGGGGGGGGGTGGGGGTGGGGGGCTGTCCAGCTGTGGAGTCGCTGCCCTGCAGGGAGGCTGGGACGGGACGGCCTCCCAGCCTGCCCTTTGTCCCCAGAGCTCTAACCCTGCTCAGCGAGGCCTGCCCAGACCTCCACGTGGCAAGTCTGCGGGCTGGAGCCCTGGCCGTGGCGCCTTGGGCCTCCAGAGGCTAGTCCCTGAGGTGGCAGGTCTCTGTGCACAGGGACGGCCGGGACTCCGGTCAGAGGAAAGGCCAGGCTGTGGCTGCAGACGGTGACGTCTGTCTGGGCTGGACAGGCCAGCCGCCCTCGACCTTGAGGGGATCGTAGGCCTGACCATGTCCCGGTGACAGCTTTCTTCCCACCTCCGTGTCCAGGTTCAACAGGGACATCGAGTTCATGATTGGCCACAAGCCCAACATCTTCTGGCAAGTCACGTGGAGGGTGGTCAGTCCACTGCTTATGCTGGTCATTTTCCTGTTCTTCTTTGTGGTCAAGGTCAATGAGGAGCTGATCTACAGCGTCTGGGACCCTGCCTATGTGAGCCGAGGGGCTGCAGCGGAGGGGGCAGTGGGAGTCTTGCTCCCTGTGGGGTCGGGAGCCCAGGGTGCCCCTCCCCTCTGCCACGAGGGCCGGGAGGTGACCTACGGGGGGAGGGGCGTGTACCCTGTAGAAGACCTTGTTGGCTGTACATGTGGCTGTCACCCCTGCTCTCTCCCCAGGAGGAGTTTCCTAAATCCCAGAAGGTCACGTACCCAGGCTGGGTGTATGCCGTGGTGGTCATCGTGGCTGGGGTGCCCTGCCTGGCCATCCCTGGCTTCGCCATCTACAAGCTCATCAGGAACCACTGCCAGAGACGGGGGGACCGCCAGGGGCTGGTCAGCAGGGTGTCCACGACCTCCATCAATGGGGACCTGAAGTACTAAACGGCCTGGCCCAGGGCGTGTGGCCGTCAGAGTGAGGGGGGAGTCCAGGCCACACACTTGAAAGTGTGTGCGTGTGTGTGTATATACACGTGTGGCTGTGTATGTGTGCACAGATGAGTGTATGCATGTGCATACTGTGTGTACATGTGTGTGCACACATAGGCACGTGTGTACATGTGTGCACGTGTGTATGTGTGCGTGTACACGTGAGCATATACACAAGTGCACATGTGAGCGTGGGGGGTGTATGTGAGCATGCGTGCATGTCTGTGAGTGTATATATGTTGAAATGTGTGTGTGTACACGTGCGTGAGTACGTGGTGGGCATGTGTATAATGTATTGTGTGCACGAGTATAAATACGTGCATACGTGTTTGTGTGCACACGCTCCGAGGACAGTCGGAGCTGCGGCGTCCTGGGGAGGCCGCGTCTGCACTGCTCGCCTGCGCCCCTCAGGACCGGCCTCGTTGCCACCCACCTTCACCTTGCTGTCGACCCTTGACCTAGGAGGTACCTGTGAGGTCGGGACACTGGTGCCCCACCTGAGGATGGCCCTCCTCAGGCCCCTTGGCTGTGAGCCTGAGAAGACTCGGCTGGGTCCTTCGGAGGCCTGACCACGCCACTGCCCCTCCCCGCCCCCACCAGCTCCGAGCTCTGGCAAAGTGCCAGCTCGGTGAGTTCCAAGCCAGTTAATCATTGTTTCTGCCGCCGCAGGTAGATGAGCAGTTAGACGGAGCTCAGCTCGACCCAGGCTGAGGCGGAAACCACCTCTGTGTTTTCCTTAAAAGGAAGTGAACCGCATGAACGCGTAGCCAGGTGTTGGAAAGGCCAGTTATACGGTAACTCGGCCGTGGCCACCACGGTCGAGGACAGTCCACGGTCCCGAGCACGGCAAGGACCGGGAGGCCTAACCGCTCGGTGCCACTCAGTGAAGTCGGGCTCTGGCTCTTCCCTCCCTGTCTCGTGAAGGTTGTTTTCTGGGATTCGACAGCCAGTCTCAGTCACGTGGCACTTGGGGTGGTTTTCTTTTTTTCTTTTTTTTTTTTTTTTTTTGAGACAGAGACAGAGCATGAACGGGGGAGGGGCAGAGAGAGAGGGAGACACAGAATCGGAAGCAGGCTCCAGGCTCTGAGCCATCAGCCCAGAGCCCAACGCGGGGCTCGAACTCACGGACCGTGAGATCGTGGCCTGAGCTGAAGTCGGACGCTTAACCAACTGAACCACTCAGGCGCCCCCTGGGGTGGTTTTCTTAATGGGCTGGTCGCCTCCACCCTCCACAGAAAAAGCCTGGAGACTTAAGTTAAACTGGACTTTCTGAGGATCCCCTGGGCAGGGGTGGGGACCTGGGTCCTGGCGCCGTGTCCCCCCCCACCGGGACGTCCCTGTCCCGTCGCCTCCCATCTGGCAGTGACCACGGAGCGGAGCCCTGCAGCCCCCGCTACGAACCTCCAAACATCGGGGCGTGTCCAGTCCTGTGCCGTCACCTGGGGAATCCTCGGGGCAGTGCGGTCGGCTGGCTTGCAGCCCCGAGTGCCGGGCCTTCCCGGGACCCCTGCCCCGCCCCGCTCCGGCCTCCACCCTCCCCTCGGCCTCTCCTCGAAGCCTTCCCACCCCCGCTGTGAGAACACAGTTGCAGTAACTGGTCCGTGCGCTGCCCCCTGGGGCGTGTGGAGAGGATTCTGGGGGTGTGACCCGGGGGGGATCATCCGGTCGTCCCACCCCTGGCCAGTGCCTTGCTCACAGACTCGGCGTCTCTGAAAGTTGTTGGAAACGCAGGTCTCGTGGGCATCACGTGTACCGGTCTAAATAAATCACCATTTCATATTCTCGGCCTAAACGTTGTCTGGAGGCAGAGGGATGAGCAGACGGTGGAGCCCCAGTCGCTCCGGGCGGCGTGGACTGCGGGTCTGGCTGGGGGGCGCCACGTGGACGCCACGTCCACGTCGCTGTGTCCGCGGAGCCCGGGGCGTGGCGAGAGGCCCTGTGAAGGGCAGGCCGCGGCGCCCTGTGAGGTCAGAGGTCAGGTGGGCTGGGCGGGGGCTACACCCTCCCCTTGACTTCTCACTCCCCCTCCCACCCAGAAAGGAGCCCCTGGAAGTGTGTCCACTGGGGTCCCCGCCTTTCCCGCAGGCATCCACGGGGCGTCCACGGGTCCGGAGCCTCAGCAGGTGGCCCGGGCTGAGTCTGCTGCGCCTGCCCGTCCCCCTCGAGCCCACCGCGCGGGGGCCCCCGGCCTGGCCGAGCCCACCCCTCCCCCGTGCTGTGGGCGTCACACCATCCCACCCCCTGCCTGCGGTGCCGGTGGGCGCTGGGAAGCAAGAGAAGCGCCTCCACCCCCGGCCCTGACCCTTGACACTCGCCCCCCTTGGGGAGTCCCTCTGGGACACGGGCGTGCAGGGGTGAGGTGGGCCTTCAGCTCGTGTGCTCGTCCCCGGAAGAGGGACATGTGCCACCGGCCAGAAGTTTGCACTCAGTCTCCGGAAAATGAACGTGGCTTAGGAGTGGACAGGACACCAGAGGCCACCTGTTCCCTCCCTGGACGTTTGTCCCCCGTCTGCACGAAGACCACGCCCTTCTGCGTGGTGAACGCACTGTGCACCTCCACGGCCACCGTGAGGAGGACAGCCTGGTGGCCGTGCCCCCCATGGGCCGCCTGAGGTCACGGCCGCGTGGCGCAGGCCCGCCCCCAGGTCCCACACACGGGTGCCGCTCGCATAACCTTCTTGAGATGACGGCGCAGTGCAGAGGAGAGACGGGCCGGGAAGGACCCTCAGGTGGCGGGCGTGTGCCGAGGTGACCGGTCAGCGTCCCGCTGGGACTGGACAGGGTGTCTGCCATCGGGGGAAAGCGGGTGAGGGCGCGGGGCCTGGGCTCGGCCACTGCTCATGGCGACGTGTGAGGCTGCAACCGTGTCTCAATCAGTTGATGAGGAGGGCAACGATTTTCATAAAACAACCCACTGTGCCCCGGTGCTGGGGGCCTGCAGGTCCCCGACAGGGAGCAGGAAGCCCCTGCGGGCATGTTCTCGAGGTGGTGGCGCACCGGCCGGGCAGGAGCCGGGGGGCGGGGGGTGGCCCGAGGCCGTGGGGTCAGGGAGCAACCGCCTGAGTTAGAGCAGGAGCCCGGCCCGAGTTACCAATTAACTGGCTCCGCTGGTTTTCCTTTAAATAACGCGGACGTACGTGGGGTGTGAGGGGGACCGTGAGGGAGCGAGTGGCAGACATGGCGTGCGCCCTGGGCCCAGACCCACGCGGGGCCGGCGGCGGGCACGAGAGGCCCAGCTGGGACAACAGGCTGCAGTACCTCCTGAGTTGCATCGGCTTTGCCGTGGGCCTGGGCAACATCTGGAGGTTCCCGTACCTGTGCCAGACGTACGGGGGAGGTGAGCCGTGGGCTGGGCCTCCGGGCCCGTCCCCGGGGGGCATCCCGGCCCTCGAGGTCCAGTCCGAGGGCGTCTCGGCCTTACGGGACTCAGGGGTGCTTTCTGCACACCGCCCTCCCCCGAGTTCCCCTGAGGTTTGCAGGTGCGCGCTGGTCGAGCCGCCTACCGCCCGTCCTTTGCACGGCCAGACCACTCTCATCTCTTCCCAAGTCCGAGGTGGTGTCAGGCAACCGCCCTGTCACCCAGGGCCCTCGGGAGCTGACACGGAACGTCGCCCGGGCCAGGCTGGTCCTTTTCTGGGGTCCGACCTTGGGCCCCGTCTGGTTTTGGTGCCAGGTCAACTTGCCCTCAAGCCTCCTTCTGCACCAATAAGACCCGAGGGCCCCCAACAGTCCCCCGGGGCAATCTTCCCGGGTCCCCCAGGCATCCAGTTGGCAATGTGGGGAGCGTCTCCTGCAGGGGAGATTCGTCGGCCCCCCCAGAAGAAACGGAAACCTGCACGGGTGACCCCACGCCGCCCTTTCCCGATGGGGAGTCGTCCTTCCCGCTTTCAAGGGCACACAGTGGACCCCCTGGCAGTGGTAGACAGTGGTCAGGCCATGGTGGGGGAATGTGGGTGGGGGTCTCCGGCAGCCGCGTGGCCGGGCCACCGTCTGGCATGGCTTCCCTGTTTATGAGGATACTGCTTCTGGAAGGTTTATTAGTTTTGTTCTGATTACCAGAAGCTGGAAGAGACCCGTGTCCTGGAACCGCTGGCCCACAGGTGTTGGAGCTTCCATGGGGGCGGGGGCAGGGGCGGGCGGGCGGGCGCCTGAGAGTAGAGGCTCCTGGGCACGGATCACGCAAAGCCCGGGGTGGAAGACCGGCTCCCTCCCTAGGCCCCCGTGCAGCCCCGTGCGCCGTGTCGAGCCTACACAGACGGGAGCCCGTTGGCTCAGCGCTGCGACCTGCCGGGACCGTCCAGGGACGTACCTTCCGGAACCCTCATCGCCGCAGGCCATGCGCCGGGCTGCCTTCCCCGAGGGCTCAGGGTGTCTGAGTCCCCGGCACCTGGGCTCTAGGGGGTCCTGGTGTCTAAATGCTTCCTTTAGGCCCTATTTCCAGGTGTGAAAACTCTCGGTGAAATGTCGGGAAATACGTTTCAAAACTCCTACTTTTCCTGAACAAGGAACTCTCACGTGTGAGAATGCCCTATTTTGTCTCACTTTGGCCACTACTGAATATTTCGATAAGAAGATGTAAGTGATAAGCAGATAACAGATCACATTTTTATTTTGCGCGAACTCACGCTCCTGAGGGTGGATACTTTCTCTCTCATTAGTGATTATTCAGGTCTGTAAAGGGCAACATCGTCACAGAATTGAGCAAAACCCTGGGCGCACCTCCACGTGATTCTCTCACACCCACCCGGCTTCTTGGTGAGCGGTCAGCGCTTCCCAGAGAAAGGGACGTGGAACCCACCAGTGGCCTCTTGGCGCACCTGCCGGGGTCTCGGGCTTCAGCCCAGGAACCCTTCTAACCGCGTCTGTGGCAACACAAGTGGGTCATCTCGTAAGCGGTCCAGGATTTCCGCACTGCCACGTTCCGGACTTCCGTTTCCGGAGGCTCCATCCAGGCG